GTGGGGGGGTGGGGGGGGTTGCGTGTGTTTGTGCATCCGTCTTTGTCCCTCACTCTGCCAGCTCTGGACCTGTACTCCTGATACCACAGCATGCTACCTGTTTGATGATATATTAATTTTACTACTAACATAACCGCCATTTCCTCTGTTTCTGCTGCTCTTTAGCCTTGCACACTGGGACCTGCTGAATCTTATCACACTGGACACAGTGAAAAAGAGCAGCCAGTCCCACTGGAAAAAAAGAGTCTCAACAAATGCATTATCATTTAAATAAGCACTTGTTACGTCTGACTCTGGTTACAGAATTAGATTTAAAATTTGCTTTGGAATTATACAGATGATCTGTTTTTCTTCACAGTTGCTTTGAGCAGTACAGCTTTATCACTTCATAGAGGAAAATCTCTAAAAACATCTGTCTTCAGCCTCATGGTTGTGCAGGAGCAATGCAATATTAATGAACCTACTTTTTGTCCAAAAGATGCGACAGAAGCTGCGTTCCATGTTGACAGCAGCACTATTTTCTGATAGCTGTTGTCACCAATTAGCACACTGACCACAGGCACTGCATTGGCCCTTTCACATTAACAGGCCAGTGTTTGTTCTCCTTGTCCTTTAGTTGTGTGGGCTGGAACCTGCTGAGCATCATTATACAGGACCAGCTTTAGCATTTGCATTCCATTTAGCCTTAATGTGTTTCCCTTGACAATAAGCACTTTACACCTATTAGCATTCACGTTGCACTTAACAATGATATTAATTATAATGGATGATTATAACTGCCCTTGCCAGCACCTGAGAAAAGTTAATAGTCTATTAGTTAAATATTAACATTTCACTCCTGTCCTCGTTATCCTTGCTTTAGTTTTGTGGGCTGGGACCTGCAGAATATCATCGTTCTGGACGCAGTAGAGGAAGACAGCCGGTCTCAGATCATGCTCAAGAAGGTCCAGTCCCCAGTGGTCCTGCTCTACTGCTCCAAGGATGAGGCAGTCTACGTCCTGGAGGAGGCTCGCTCTCTGGGCCTCACTGGGTTTGGATACATCTGGATTGTGCCGTCGCTCACCACTGGGAACCCGGAAATAACGCCTGACGAGTTTCCACCGGGAATGATTTCAGTGTCATACGACGACTGGGACTACCCGTTGGAGGCACGCGTTCGGGATGGTCTGGGGATCATAACGTCAGCAGCAGCAGCCATGTTGGAGGAGTATGGTGACATCCCTGAAGCCAAGACGTCCTGTTACGGCCAGATGGAGAAGACAAGCAAGCTGCCACCCAGTGCGCTACATAAGTAAGTGAAGAAGGAGTGCATGGATGTGTTTGTTTTGGCTTTGATGATGTTTAATGATCAGTAAGAAATACTAGCTAATAATAGCTGTGTGTATTTTAAAATCAAAAAAAGCAGAAATGCATTTTAAAAATTAAAACAATTCTAAAAGATTTAATGAGGTTTTGTGTACTTTTAAAACATGAAGAAAGTAGCAATGTTAATACACATAGAAGTGTGTATGTGTGCATTTGTTTGGTTTTTTTGTCTGAATGCACAATGCACAATCCACAGCTTGTTTTCACCCTTAGAGTAATTAGAGACATCTACCAAGTTTCCACCAAGTCTAAGTTAAGGATTGAGATTGAAGAAAGATGCAATTACTGGATAAAAGACCAAGGGATTGAAAGTAGAAGCTAAGACAATATAGGAAGTGTAGGAGTCAGAGAGAGAGGGAGAGAGAGGAATGAAAGAGTTGAATGAGAGTTGAGGAGGGTGTTTGTGATTTAGGCAGTGAAGAAACAGGGAAGGGAAGAAATTGGAGTAACAGCGGGAATCCGCTACAAATGAGTGCTCTCCAAAATTGAAGAGCTCCTTGATGAGTCCTTCTGTTCCTCTTCTCGTTTATTCCTCTATCTCTCATTCACTCTCTTCTGCTCTCCTTCTCATCATGCGCTTGCTCCCCAGCAGCCAGTGGGAGATGTTGCAGGTCTTGCCAGCTCTGTCTGGCTCTCCATCTGGCAGAGGAAGGAGCAATGCACACAACCTGTGTTTACATCCCAATATTGTTTTTTTTTTAAATAATGATGTAAAGTTACAAATATTGAGTCTACGTGACAAAATTTTATTCTAAAATGTACATTATTCTAAAAACAAAAATCAATGTTCAAATGAGAACAAGAACACATTACATTTAATAAAGCATTGGTAGTCAAAGGTCCAGTGCGTAGGAGCCAACTAGAGGTGTAGTTGAAGATTGCAACTCCCTGCTTCACCCTCCTCTTCCAAGTGCAAAGAAGAAAATACAGTGGCTGCGTAACACACCAAAAACGCAAACGGCGCTATCTAGAGCCACTGTTTGGTTTGTCCATTCTGGGCCACTGCTGAAACATGGAGGTTCAACATGGCAGCATCCGTAAAAGGCTCATTCTAAGGTAACATAATCATAACCATTTTTATTTTCAGGTGATTATACACTAATGAAAACATATGCATATTATATTCCTTTTCTTCCAATAGATCCTCCTAAATGTGACACACTGGACTTTTAACAGTGTGCTCATCATTTTCGCAAACACTGTACATCAATATAAAATTATTATTAGGTATGTGATACAGCATGTAATCATGTTACTATTCTTTAGTTCTCTTTGTCTTAGATGGCGGCTTGAAATATGGCTTAAATAACGGACATCAAAGTCCAATAACTTGTCCTATATAATCAGTTTTGAAAGGTATATTTTCCAATATGCTTTTCTGATGGTCAGGAGGCTTAGTCAGTGATTTTAACGTATTATCCTCTCAAGTGTTGCATAATGTTAACATCAGAGTGAAAAAAGAGGAGGAAAGAGAAAAACAATACAGAAAGAGTGAACAATGAAACAGGCACAGAGAGTGTTTTCTTGCTTTTGTGTAACAAGGGCATTTTTAGATCAGATCCCAGTTGTTTCCTCTGCTAAACTAATACAGTATTAGTTTAGGAAATCAAGACTGAAGTATAACATTTTCCTCTGTGGCCACCTTACAGCAGCTGCCTATAAACTGGCCTGGAACATTTTCATGTAACTGGTCAATAAATCAACCAGAAACTCTTTTGGCTTATGTGGCTATCTTATAGCCAAACAGTACTGAAGATGTTTCAGTCTGAGAAGTCCCTACACATTTCAGCCAATTGTCATTTGGGCTCTGCTGAAACCGAACCAAGTTCATTATGCAGTTAAGGGGGTCTGGGAGATTAGAGTGCTCACTGGGCTAAATCTGCCTGTTTAGAGAGCTTGAAATGTCAGCAGTCAATGAGGTAACAGAGGAGTTACTGGCATTGATCAGAAACATTTATGAGCCCCCATTCATAAAGTTTGGTCGTTTTGTGCAAAGAAACAGTGAAGTATAAGGGATTACACCTTTACTATCGTGTATAGGACTTTAAATACCAATTCCACACTAATATAGCTCTTGTTTTGTCAGGAAACACAGATACACCAAAGAGAATTACCAAACATCCAGGACCAGCTGACTTTGTTCCCAGCATGCTCTGCTGCCTCAGGTTGTTACCCAGGTGATGAGTGGCCACAGATGGCTTTGTTGTGGGTGAGAGAGCTCAGCCAATAGGGCTTCAGGGCCAGAACATGAGAAACATGATTGGTCAAGGCTAGGTCAGGGCGGTGGGCCAGTGTGGGTTGTTAGACCATCAACGGCTGTCATGGGAGGTAGGAGGACATGGCCAGCACACACAAGCATGCACAATCAGAGGCGGGCAGATGGGCTGTATGTACAAATGTACAGCATCAGTGTGATGTACTGCAGTATGTACAGTGGGTCACAGTATTTTATCCCAGTCTCTTCTTTAGTTCTTCAGTGGTTCCATTGCCTCGTCCTAAGCAAGATGTCAATAACAGCATTATCTTAAAAGTATCCGTCTGGTACTCAGTTTGAAGTTTGCGTGTTTCTTTGCTTGAACGCCTCTCGGACTATGATTTGTGACAACAATTTAAGTTACAGTGGATGCTGTGTCCGTCTTTATGTGAGCCAAAATAATAGAACAAAAACTTGTTTTAATGAGAATAATATTAATAGATAGTGCTGGAATCACGGAGAAGTTCTGGTGACAAGTGCTGTGCATTGTGGGCTTTCAGTAAAGTTTTACCTCGCCCACTTTGCCTGTGACAGCTGTTATGATAAATCCACTGTGACACATCCAAGATGAATATGTTTTGCAGAGTAATCGAAAAAAAAAAAAAAAACGGCAGACAAATGACCAACTAAGAGCGCTGGCCAGTGCAGCAATTAGACCAAGTGACAACTTGTGCTCCATTTAAAATGTGCTGTGTGTGTGTGTCTGTGCGTGTGCACTTGTGCGTGTGCATGTTAGAAACGAGAGAAATATCCCCCCCTGTAAGAGAATGTTCTGTCATGACAGATTTACAGCGTACAGCTCACCTTGCTGTGGTGAACAGTGTGCCTTAAAAGACTTTAGCACTTATTTATCAGTGTGTGTCTGTCTCTGAGTGTGTGTGTGTGTGTGTGTGTGTGTGTCTTTGAGTGTGTGTACGTGTGTGTGTGTGGAAAAGGTGTGGTGGTAGTAGTTTGTTCTGACAGGTAATTTCAGTCTCTAGCTATGAGGGTCAGAAAACACATGTACACCAAACACTCACACACACACACACACACACACACACACAACACACACCACACACACACACACATACTGAGTCCCCCCCATGTGAGCTGTGCAGAGACATGTGCACACACCACACGCTGCAATTTAGAACATAAGAGATGCATGGCATATCCTGACAAATTTCATATTAATTTATTGGATACAATCATGCAATTATCTCGCTAATTCAAATGTGTTCTATTAAAGAGAGAAAGTGAGAGGAAGATAAAGTTCTAAAAGCAAGAACACACTTCAGAAAGTGAGTTGGATGGACAGAGTGGCTAATACATCATGCATTCTGTGTACGTGTGGGTGTGAGTGAGAATATCCTCCATCATGAATATCAGTAAGTCATTTTACCCCTCAAATCGGTCTTGTCAGCTTCAGCATTAGCTTGCCTTGCAGGTAACAGTCTGTGTGAGAGAGGGACAAAATCTGTGAACAGCAGATGGTGTCTGTGTGTGTGAGTATGCAAAAGCTCTCATTTTAACATGAAAAGGTGATTGCAAAGGAAATGCAGACACCGCCTTTTTCAATCTGAAACAATGAGATAATTGTAGTTCAAGTTCCTGTTGTTTAGCCTGAAGTGGCCTGTGGGTAGTGGGTGAAGACTGTGGAAGCAGCAGTGCATTGTCCAGTAAACTGAGGGTGGAGCTTCCTCTTAACTGATGCTAATTACAGCCCTGACTGCCTAGTTATTTTCAACAGTATTGAGAAGTTGTCTGTATTATCTTTACTAAGCAGGGATAGCATATCACTGACAGTTTGGATGGTACATCTCAGAGATAAATGAACCATTAAGTTGCTTTTGGTTTGAATGCTCAGAGTGTGAAAAGACAGGGAGAAATGGGACTGCAGAGCAAGAAGATATAAATGAAGTTTAGTCACTGGCAATGTGAGCTACTGCAAATCCCATCGCACAAGAGGTTTATTAATTTTTCATCAGAGGGAAAGGTATCTAAGAAAGGTGCTGCAGTTTTGTGCAGGGATTCCTGAACTAAAAATTGATTTGCATATTGGAGAAAACCCATGATACATAAACGCAGCTCCAGTATAAAGGATCCCAAGCCAACATACACATAAATCCTATTTTGTGCAACAAAAGAAATCCTGCTTAGGTAGCTATGTGGACATGTGTTGCATTTAATGTTGCGACTGCAAGCTTGGAAAAAGACAAAATGTAATTTTTAGCATTAATCTTGTGCTGCCCAAACTCACACAGAAATGTAACTGCACAAATATAATGTTCACACACACACCAGGGACAGCAGGAGGGGCAGAGACACTGCTAAACTAGCATTTTACCTCACCTTACAGTCATCATTCATGCCACACTTAACACATGCCACCTGAGGCTGAGTGTGTTTTCAAGTGACTACCATCTTAAAAGACCTAAATCACCACTGATAGCAGCTCCCATCTTTTTTTCAGACTTCCCCCTCTTTGCCTCTCACAATGTGTGTGTGTGTGCTGTCGCAGTTCATAGATCATGAGTGTTGACAGTATACATCATTGCTTTGAACGGTGCTTGTCTTGACGAAGGATAAATGTCTCTATCTCTCTATCTTTAACACACACACGCACACACACACAGCATTATACAGTAACATCTTTGTGGAGACTCTTTTCCCCACAGTAAAGCCTCTTCAGATACAATGTAGAGTTCTTATCACAAAGTAAGACCTTTATAAACATGGGGAGAGCCAGAGATCTCAGAATGAGCCAGCACTTGAGATGTTATACCTTTTGTGTCAAGAACACTTGACAGGACAGGACACAGTACTGTTACCAGAAAAGACTGCTGTTGTGGAGGCTGTCTATGGAAGAAGATGCCCAATATATTTGGAAATGTCATTGTTTCTTCTAATTAACACTGTTAATCATTGCTCATGAGTTCAGGATTAAGAAAACAGTGCACAGAGTATTTGGGTTTGGGTTTGGCCCAGGCTGCTTTATTGCAGTCTATGTGTGTGCTCGTATTTGCCTGCTGCAGTAAATGTGTAGTGCTGGGTGCAGTGCCTCCCCTCCCATCCCAACCACTTTTTACTCCCAAATAAGAGGAAGGGGGGAAAAAATAACACCGAAGATATTTTTATCCTAACTCTGTCGAGGCTTAGTCCCCTTCCTCTCTTGTCATACTTCTCTTTCCGTCTCTCTCCCTCAATCTCTCTTATCTTTATACTCTCTCTTTTTTCGGGTGCTCCTTCTCCGCCGTCTTCCCACCTCTGCACCTTCTCCCCGTCCCCCCTAATGAATAGAGAGATTACTGATATAATGGAGGCAGGAAAGTGAGAGAAATTGGATCGCTTTACTATGATCTGAGTGCTACAGGGGAGAGGGAACATTAGGTGGAGAATTGTTGAGGTGGGCAAAGTAATTGTCATTGTTGTTTCTCTGTGTGTGCGTGTGTGTGTGTGTGTGTGTGTGTGTGTGTGTTGTGTGGTGTGTGTGTGTGTGCAGAGATGATCATACAGGTTTGTTTAGGGTCAGTTTACAGCATGTATACTAGAGCCTGTGTCCGTATCCTAGCAACGCGCTATCATCCACCTGTTCAATGGGCGTCTGCCCAAACATATTCGCAGACGCACACAATCTGCCTGTCTTGTCTGCATCCTGTTGTTTTTGTTGTATACTATAAGGATGCTTATATTTATTGTTTTGTTTTCACAGCCATTTAGTCTGTTTGGAAAAGCGAGAGATTAGATTGAATTGAAAAGACATAATCCTTCAAATCTTTCTCATAATTTGATCCAACTGAGATATTGCTCCAAACTTAGAGGCCCGTAGATTCACACTGTGTGCTTGAATTAAAGTTTAGCCTACAGAATGGTCATTGGCTCGGAATCACCCTGCACGAAATGAGAAATCAATTCCAAACAAAATACAAATATCAGAGTTCAAGGCAGAAGAATGAATTTGGGTTGTCTGAACATCCTCACTTCCTCCCTACCGGCTCTACCAGGGAATCATTGTGTTTACTGATTCACCTTACAAGATGCCCTACTCACATAGTCTTATGCTTCTAACATCCAGCACAAGTTCCGACATTGTTACATCAAAGTTACATCAGATCCTTTTGTATTAATGCTACAAATAACCTTTTCTTTGCCGACTTATGTCAAAAGAAATGAGAGCATAAGAGAAAGGGAAAATAATCCAAAAGAGCAACAGAGGAGAACAAATTGTAAAACAAACAGACGGAAAGAAGAGTAAAAGCCTCCACTGTGTGCATGTGTGAACGTCTCTTCCAGGTAGACGGTTGCAGAGCGCACAATTTGTTGTTGTCTAAAAGAGCAGTCTGTGCACTGGTATTGATTCCAGCACCTCTTCCTCAGCTGTAGTCGCACATAATTGGGTTCAGCACTGCACCCCGTGTCCAATGAAATGGCTTAATACTACTCACCTGGTTGCTTGCAGGCCAATCAGATTATTTTAATCACACAACCCACTCAATCCCCTTATCTCTGGCTGATTTTATCTGAGCATTGAGTGGCTTTGTGCGTGTGTGTGTGTGTGTGTGTGTGTAACCAGCTGCAATTTAAAGAGACATGTGAGTATGTTATAACACACACATTTTAAACAGACTTTTTCTCTATTATCTCTGTCACCATCCCTTTGAGTTGGTAATATAATTGGGCTAGACTGCTGCTGTGTGTTACATGCAAGTGTGGGAGTATGTATATATATAACAGCTCCAATGATATAAAACAGAAGAAATAAATATTCTATAAATCTTTAGTGAATCAGAAAAAAAAGAGAGGATTTGGTCTTTTTTTCCCAATTGAAGTCCCCTAAATAAATGTCTTTATTATACATTAGCAATTCAATGTGTCAAATGCTAAAAGCACAATTTGTGCCCTCACAATGGTTCCACCTTCACAAACTGTAGCATGTGCCTGCACAATATCCTACACAGCATGAAACACCTCACCTGCAGAGAACTCCGCTGTGGCTTTTTCAAAGACGCATCACGTGGCCACATGTTCCATTTAGAAACTTTGCCCTGTCTCACCGCCCCCAGAATGGAGTAGAGGGGGAAGAAAAGAGGAGCTGTCCCTCTCCCTTGTTGTACATGACCGCTGACAGAAGGAGTGAGGGAGACAGAGTGGGGAAGGACAGCCATGATTAATGTGGAGTCTATGTGGACCCAAGAATATCTTCCCACTGCCCTCCATCTTAGCTAATGTGACCTGCCATATGGGTCACTCATTACAGTCGTTGTGGAATGTCCGTGTGTGTCTGGTGAGTTTACGTATTGAACCTACTAACTATGGCTTCAGGTACAACCATTGTCGCTTCTTTCTGCAGTTTTATTTTTAAGACAACACTGTAATGCTGCAGTGACACTCACATGTCAAGGATTTGTGCCTTGCTTACATGTTATACCAGGCACAAACAGATATTTTTTTTTGTAGATTCTTTTTATCTCTCAGCATTGCATTTTGATTTTCAATACAAAAAAGCCTGTGTGAATATTTTAGAACAGTAAGAGTAGATAGTAATTTGACATTTTCTCATGCTAATGTGATTTAATTTCCCCTTTCCCTCTGTTTCTTCCCGCCACCATTCATTTATTTCCTTTCCTCATTCTCTGCTTTTTCCACCGCCCCCCCCTTCTTTGTCCTCACCTCTCTGTCTTCTTATCACCCTCTGCCCCACTCCTCCTCCTCCTCCCCCTCCTCCTATACTCCTCTCACTCTCAGGTACATGATGAATGTGACATGGGATGGCAGAGACTTGTCATTCACAGAAGACGGCTACCAGGAATACCCAAAGCTGGTGGTCATTGTTCTCAACAAGGAGAGAGAGTGGGAGAAGGTAGGATCTACATCTATGTGTATTTGTGCGCAGAAGTGTGCACATGTTCCCCCGTGTTGTTCAGGGTCACAGAGCTCATGTCCGCCATAATATTTTGTTGAATTTTTAAGGCTGATTCTTATATTTTCTTTGACTTTTTTTGACTGTTTTCAGGCAAAATCATTTAAATTAAAAGCAACTTAGCAATTCAATTGAATACGTATGCAAGAACGGCCCTGTGTGTTTATGCTACTTTTGTTTATTGTTTGTTTCTCTATGTTGCTTTTTAATGAACTATTATATTATTATTATTGTATATTACTGTTATTGTTTCTGCAATTTCTTTTTTTTCAAATCTTGCAGCATACACACAATACCAATATATCTGTGATAACACCGTATTGGCTGATGATACTGACCTATTATGTATTGGTCGAGCTCTAATACAAATATGTTTCCTTATATCTTTATCTGTTACTGACTGACACATTATTTTATTAACCAAAAGCTAGCTCATGCATTGCACACCTAAAAACTGTGGTTTGATAGGGATCTGGGTAATTAGCAGTGATACAGATGAAAGTGCACCACTTAAAGAATTTGAAATCAAATCCAAGGAAAAAATCCAAGTATAGGTCAATGGTACCACCCACAGTGTTTGATTGACAAGTGGCCTCTTATAATTGCAGTGCCAAACAAAACCAGCAATAAGTGCTTAAGACAGTATTGAAAATGCTACCCCCATGTCGCATCGTACAACACTTTGTTGATCAATGAGCTCATTTACCAACAAGCTTATGGATTTCTTGAACTGTGTAATGTGAGGAAGCGTCCATAAAAAATGGCCACTGTGAATGGCTAAGTATTCTCGCTGTTGTAATGGACTTCAAATGGCAGCCATGTATCTTTATACCTACATCTAGCTGCCTTCTGCAGGCTTAAATACTGTAGCTCATATTTAATGCCCCCAATAGCTCATAGTTCAGGCTTTGTGGGGCTGAGAGGAAATGTTTGAGAGAAGGCTGGAAAAAGAGAGAGGTGTGGCTAAAGGAAGGATTTGGATAAGGAAGAAAGGGAGATAGATCGTTATGTCTTTATGTTTTTTCATTCCTTTCCCTCTCTTTCATAACATCTTATGTGTTTCACATCTCTTTTCTTCATCTCTGCCCCATCTTCAACTTCTTTCCCTCTCTCTTTATTTCTCCTTCCTGCTTCCATCTCTCTATCCTTTCCTCCATTTTTTTCCCTTCGTCCCTTCTTCCCAGTCCAGATAATCTGTGCACTCTGTCTGTCTTTAGCTGTGATTGCTGTTGTGGTCTCTGATAGCACCTCAAACCACAGTTAATCAAAACCTGAGACCTCTGTTATTGAGGTGACAAGGGGTCACTGCTCTTGTATTTGTGTTTTTGTGTGTGTGTGTGTGTGTGCGCGTGTATGTTTACCCATCCACACTTTTTTTTTTTTTTAGATACTTGAGCTTCAACTAGTCTGGGTTTTATTCAGGTCACATCAGTGTGTGTGTGTGTTACAGTATTTCGGTTTAGTTTGCCGCAATCCGCACAGTCTCCACCCAATCTTTGAGACTGCCTTTTTCATATTTCATACTGACACACACCCACACACACATGCACACACATAAAAGACCCTTTGTTGGTGAGCTGAGGGGAGGTAGAGTGTGTTGTTATAAACAGAGAGCCTGTGAAATTGATCAGTACCACTTCACTGTGGTGCAGAGAAAGAGACTGAAGGCAGCGAGACACGTAGACCCAAAGTGGAAACATAATGGGAAGCGCTCTCTCTCTCTCTCCCCTTCCCTCTGGTGCAGCCGTCCCACCCATGCGCCAGAAATCAGCAACACACACACACACAGACTTCCATGATGATCAAGAGATAAAAATTCAGTAACTGCACTAAAATATGGATATGCACTAAAAATATAAAATGTGTCCCCTTGAGGCACAGGAGAAGAGCTATATGGAGCGATACCGAGACGAGCGAGCGATGGAGACAGATGGGCCAAGATAGTGAGAGCAAATGAGTACAAGAAAAAGAGACACAAAGAGATGGAGAGAGGAAGAGAGACATGGAATTAACTGAACCACCAGCATTTGCATGTTTTCTCTTTTTTCACCCACTACAGGTGTTTATCACTCAGGTTTTCAAAGTATCCACACCTGCTGTTCTCTGCAAAATACACACATGCACACACACACACACACACACAGAGAGTTGGTTAGATGGTAGATTTTGGAGTTTTGGGAAGACCTGCTTTTAAAATAGCTACACCTGTTGGATGTTTTATTTTTTTTAAGGATTATGTAATCGCCAGCGAATTACTGTTTTATTTAAAAGAAGCGCAGCTTGCAGTAAATCATGCGGGTATATTTGACTGCATCAGAAGGCTGGATCCTGGGTGGTGTGTGGGGGATTTATGCAAAATTTGGCTTTTATCTGTGAAAAATGTGTTGCAACGACTGAACAGATATAGTGGGAAGAAAGACTAACAATTTAGATGGATGCTGCCTTGCCAGGAGTGGTATACTTAAAGAACTTGCCATGCATGAATGCGTAGAAACAAAAATTGTTCATACTGTGATTCTATAGTTCTCCATATCACAAAACACTAATATGTTGTAATGATGCTGTGTCTAGGGAAAGTAATAGATTAATCTAGTTTTGGTCCAGTATTAGTAAACAGTTTACAGGAGCTTGCTTTACTTGAATGATAAAGGCTACACACACATTGTATTATGTGAATATGTAATGTGCCACTTGCAAAACAATAACATTTTGAGTATATTGTCGTGAAATAGCATGGGGTCATAGGGTTTTATTGTACCACCACTGCCATCATTGCAGTCGGCTTCTGATTCCTTCAGTGTTCATCTTTCAGGACAGTTCCACCGGGAGCCAAATTATCCGCAAATGTCTCCTATTCTCCGAAACAAACAGACCCTAAAACCAGTAAACACACTGAATAAAGCAGTTTCACTTTAAAATCTCCAATGCTCCAGCTGAGCTGCTGCTAACATTAGCTTAGCTTGTTTCTCTGATAACTTAAGACCGGGACGTCCAATGACTAAAATCCTTCATCCGGTTAAAATATATAGTTAAAATTGTTCAAGATCTAAAATGTGTATGTAAAAATATGGCTTAAAACTGGATAAAAAGAAACATCGATGACAGCTTGTGGCAGACAACCACAACGCTGACAGATGTGCAACAGGATATTAGGCCTTTAACAGGCAACCAGTGAAACGTACCGTTACCTGAATAAAATGGGTTTAAACATTGTTGTAAACATTTAGGATAATGTAAGTACACAACTCAATAAAATATATGATACAGGTCTAGTGTTTAAAATAAAAGTAAAAAATAAAATGCACTGACCATGGTGCTAGAGGAAGTCAAGAGATCGCCAAAGTCATTAAATTATTTGTGTGCACCAAATTTCAAGGAAATCTGTCCAGTAGTTGTCAGTGACATTTCTCTCCAAAAAAACACAAATTTGAACTTCGTGTTGGTTCCAAGGGAAAAGTCAGAGTATCCCCAAAGTCATCAGGATTTAGTGTGTGGTGACCATAAACTTCTGTACAAGGTTTGGTGCCAGTTCACAAGAAAAGAAAGAAGTTGCTGGTAGTGTTACAGCAAAAGTGATCCCCTGAGAGCCATGAATGTCCGTATAAAATGTCATGGTAATCCATCCTGTAGTTGTTCAGATATTTCATTCAGGACCGAAGTGGTGGTTCGACTGCACCTTCTCCTGAAAAACGTTCCTGAAAATAATAGAATCCATCCAACAGTAGACAAATTCATAAAAATGTAATCCATGGTGGTGACACACAAAATCAAATCAATCACATGACAGAACTTGTGATACATTTTCTGACTGTATTCCAAGTTACAGTATTAGTTCACTGGCTGAATGAGAAAAGTGTATTTACCGATCAGAACCAGGATGTTATGTTTTATTCCTGCTGAGTAGATGGAGTGTGTAAATTGCTTCAGGAACTGCTGCAGTGTTAGCAGCCAGTTCACAAAATAATTATTACAGACAGCATGGGATTTGTGCTTGGAGAATCACAATATGGAGAGCAGACACACAAGAGCGCATGTGCATACACACACATACACGCACACTCCCAAACCAACACGTAAACACACACATTTTTGATCCAGGCCTTACTATTCCCTGAATCTTAATAAAAGTGCTCCACTTTAAGGAAAGATGTCTAAATCTGTGGATGCAGTTTTTTCCCGCTCTTCTACTCTGTCATCCTCTTTCTCTCTGCCCTTGTTTTTCTCTCTCTCTTACACACACACACATACA